TAGACGTATGGTAAAGTCAACAACAATACTTCTCCCTGCTCTGAGGCAGTCGAGGTGTATGGTAAAGTCAACAACAATACTCCCTGCTCTGAGGCAGTCTAGATGTACGGTAAAGTCAACAACAATACTTCTCCCTGCTCTGAGGCAGTCTAGAGGTATGGTAAAGTCAACAACAATACTCCCTGCTCTGAGGCAGTCTAGGTGTATGGTAAAGTCAACAACAATACTCCCTGCTCTGAGGCAGTCTAGGTGTATGGTAAAGTCAACAACAATACTTCCTGCTCTGAGACAGTCTAGGTGTATGGTAAAGTCAACAACAATACTTCCTGCTCTGAGACAGTCTAGGTATATGGTAAAGTCAACAACAATACTTCTCCCTGCTCTGAGGCAGTCGAGGTGTATGGTAAAGTCAACAACAATACTCCCTGCTCTGAGGCAGTCGAGGTGTATGGTAAAGTCAACAACAATACTCCCTGCTCTGAGGCAGTCTAGGAGTATGGTAAAGTCAACAACAATACTTCCTGCTCTGAGGCAGTCTAGGTGTATGGTAAAGTCAACAACAATACTTCCTACTCTGAGGCAGTCTAGGTGTATGGTAAAGTCAACAACAATACTTCCTGCTCTGAGACAGTCTAGGTGTATGGTAAAGTCAACAACAATACTTCCTGCTCTGAGGCAGTCTAGGTGTATGATAAAGTCAACAACAATACTTCTCCCTGCTCTGAGACAGTCTAGGTGTATGGTAAAGTCAACAACAATACTTCTCCCTGCTCTGAGACAGTCTAGGTGTATGGTAAAGTCAACAACAATACTTCTCCCTGCTCTGAGGCAGTCTAGGTGTATGGTAAAGTCAACAACAATACTTCCTGCTCTGAGACAGTCTAGGTGTATGGTAAAGTCAACAACAATACTTCCTGCTCTGAGACAGTCTAGGTATATGGTAAAGTCAACAAGTAAGAGATCCCTGTTCACATCAATGATACATCAGTCATACAAGGCTAGACTCATATTTTTTTTACACACCAAGTGGCACTCAATGGCTGATGCATTCAACATCCTGCTGACCACCTTTACTTCCCAGGATTTTACCTCGCACCCATTTCCAGTCAATCTGGAAGATAGGGCCACTTTTTGTTTTTTTAAACCTGACTCAAGGATTCAATCCCAAGACTGTCATGACAGCAGTCGAACAACTAGCCACTACTCTACTGCAACTCCCAGGAATATGCTCCTAGCCCTTTATTTGTAAGGGCCAATCAGCACTCATCAGGTCACATGGTCAAACCACGCCGACCACTTTTACTACCCAGAATACTTCACGGTACAGTCTCCTTGACCCATGACTAAGTTCTATTCTAACAGGACGTAAGTCAAACAGGGTGTAAATCAAATTTATATTTTTCAACATTACTTTCATTCAAATGGATTTTAAAAAATTGTACATAAAACACAACAATCCAACCTATTTATACATAATTATTGTACCTAAGGTAAGAAAATCATAATATGTACTCTAGTACATCAGTTGCATGAACTTTCTGACCCTATCATGTAGTTATTTTTCTTAAGTTATTTGCTATTTTTGTTAACTGACATTTTGTTGTCGTAAGTGCAGATAGTTTAAGTCTAGGAGAAGGTGTATTCATTTTAGACTGGGTCAACCTGGGAATCCAGGTAAATTTGTATACAATCCTTCCCCCACCCTTCCCTCAGAGGGGATGTGAACACACTACACTAATCAAACAGGCAAGTGTGCTACCTACACCACGATGGTGTAACTAACAAATGTGTTTCATGCGATAAAGTTTCAGATGAGCCAAAAAGCAAGCACACTTGAAGCAGCTCAAGTCGCAACAGCTTCAAACATCTTTGTTGAAAGCAACAACAAAAAACAAGAAGAAGAAGAAAAGATGATTATAAAAGCTCCATTATAGCAGCATTCAATATACAAGAAAGTCTGGCCTATTCACTCAAGCTTAAACTGAAAACAATATCACATATTTTAAAAACTGTTCCCAGTACTGACATCAGTTAACGAACACATGATGTAGTTTCCCTGGTATTTCCAGGAAATATGGTGCAGCTTAATACAATGTTTACTGCCTGTTGATGATCTGATTGTAGCACAAACATACAGTAGATATGTGCATAGTTCTTGTTGGCTGGGCAAGAGATGGGGTCTACCCCATTAAACATGAGTATCTCTGTATCTCTATTAAGTTTCTCTCACAGATCACACATGAAAAATCTCAGCATAGTGCATGAACTCTGTTATCTAACAAGGTCGGAGGTCAGGGGCTTCTGAGCTGACATTCTACAGAAATATTCTTACAATATCATGGTCCAAGAAGAAAAGGATGCTAACACACTATGAGATCTGAACATCAAAGAAAACTGGCTCATAAACAGCATCCTGTCTCGGAAACCTGACTTTGGTACCAGGAAAGAGGGGCTGGGGTCAACCAGCATGGAGAGGTGCTGGGGTCAACCAGCATGGAGAGCAGCAGGGGTCAACTAGCATGAAGAGTGGCCGGGGTCAACCAGCATGGAGAGCAGCAGGAGTCAACTAGCATGAAGAGAGGCCGGGGTCAACCAGCATGGAGAGCAGCAGGGGTCAACCAGCACAGAGAGGGGCTGGGGTCAACCAGCACAGAGAGGGGCTGGGGTCAACCAGCATGGAGAGCAGCAGGGGTCAACCAGCACAGAGAGGGGCTGGGGTCAACCAGCACAGAGAGGGGCTGGGGTCAACCAGCATGGAGAGGGGCTGGGGTCAACCAGCACAGAGAGCAGCAGGGGTCAACTAGCATGAAGAGTGGCCGGGGTCAACCAGCATGGAGAGCAGCAGGGGTCAACTAGCATGAAGAGAGGCCGGGGTCAACCAGCATGGAGAGAGGCCGGGGTAAACCAGCATGGAGAGCAGCAGGGGTCAACTAGCATGAAGAGGGGCTGGGGTCAACCAGCACAGAGAGCAGCAGGGGTCAACTAGCATGAAGAGTGGCCGGGGTCAACCAGCATGGAGAGCAGCAGGGGTCAACTAGCATGAAGAGAGGCCGGGGTCAACCAGCATGGAGAGCAGCAGGGGTCAACTAGCAAGAAAAGGGGCTGGGGTCAACCAGCACAGAGAGCAGCAGGGGTCAACCAGCATGGAGAGGGGCTGGGGTCAACCAGCATGGAGAGCAGCAGGGGTCAACCAGCATGAAGAGGGGCTGGGGTCAACAAGCACAGAGAGCAGCAGGGGTCAACTAGCATGAAGAGTGGCCGGGGTCAACCAGCATGGAGAGCAGCAGGGGTCAACTAGCATGAAGAGAGGCCGGGGTCACCCAGCATGGAGAGAGGCCGGGGTAAACCAGCATGGAGAGCAGCAGGGGTCAACTAGCATGAAAAGGGGCTGGGGTCAACCAGCACAGAGAGCAGCAGGGGTCAACCAGCATGGAGAGGGGCTGGGGTCAACCAGCATGGAGAGCAGCAGGGGTCAACCAGCATGAAGAGGGGCTGGGGTCAACCAGCATGGAGAGGGGCTGGGGTCAACCAGCATGGAGAGGGACTGGGGTCAACCAGCATGGAGAGCAGCAGGGGTCAACCAGCATGGAGAGGGGCTGGGGTCAACCAGCATGGAGAACAGCAGGGGTCAACCAGCATGAAGAGGGGCTGGGGTCAACCAGCACGGAGAGCAGCTGGGGTCAACCAGCATGGAGAGCAGCAGGGGTCAACCAGCATGAAGAGCAGCAGGGGTCAACCAGCATGGAGAGCAGCAGGGGTCAACCAGCATGGAGAGGGGCTGGGGTCAATCAGCATGAAGAGCAGCATGGGTCAACCAGCATGGAGAGCAGCAGGGGTCAACCAGCATGGAGAGCAGCAGGGGTCAACCAGCACGGAGAGCAGCAGGGGTCAACCAGCATGAAGAGGGGCTGGGGTCAACCAGCATGAAGAGCAGCAGGGGTCAACCATAATGAAGAGGGGCTGGGATCAACCAGCATAGAGAGCAGCAGGGGTCAACCAGCATGAAGAGGGGCTGGGGTCAACCAGCATGGAGAGCAGCAGGGGTCAACCAGCATGAAGAGAGGCTGGGGTCAACCAGCATGGAGAGCAGCAGGGGTCAACTAGCATGAAGAGGGGCTGGGGTCAACCAGCATGGAGAGCAGCAGGGGTCAACCAGCATGGAGAGGGACTGGGGTCAACCAGCACGGAGAGCAGCAGGGGTCAACCAGCATGGAGAGCAGCAGGGGTCAACCAGCATGAAGAGGGGCTGGGGTCAACCAGCATGGAGAGCAGCAGGGGTCAACCAGCATGAAGAGTGGCCGGGGTCAACCAGCATGGAGAGCAGTAGGGGTCAACTAGCATGAAGAGTGGCCGTGGTCAACCAGCATGGAGAGCAGCAGGGGTCAACTAGCATGAAGAGAAGCAGAGGTCAACCAGCATGGGGAGCAGCAGGGGTCAACTAGCATGAAGAGAAGCAGAGGTCAACCAGCATAAAGATGGGCACAGGACGTAAGAGATGTTCTGAGCCGGAACGTGCATGAGGTGGGAGAGCTGACCAGAGACTGATATTTTCTTCAGGTGCTGTAATGGAAGCGACATTCTGTAAAGGACCTGCCACATGACAATAATAATGATGTTCCCATTACAAATTTCGTATAATTTGCAGCATTGTTATGACTGAATAGGCCAGATTTCCAATGTAAGCATAAAAGATGTCAGGAATTCAAATCTGAAACTATAAAATAAATTGGGCTTAAAAAACTGGCAGTTGCATCTTCTGCCCAAAAAATGTTTAATCTTTCCAGAAAAATGTCTGAAAATGTAAATTAGGCTCAAAAAAAGATTGTTATTGAAATGTAAAATTAGTGACGAACTTTTACAACCTGCACATATGATGAAGAAAGTGGAGTGAATAATGTTTTTATATACCAGTGGGAATGATGTTCCTAAAAATGTAAGGTGAATTATGGTTAAGGTCTGAGATTGTTAGGGAACTAAATTAAATTTTAAAAAGGCAATACCTGGAATTTAGAGTAGCGAGCACTAAATGTAGGTCTCTCTGTGGCTGGTAGGTGGCGCCGAATGCAGTCAAGGTCGTTGATTCCAAGAAGACCATCAGCTGCCATAGAATGTGGTTATTTCAGTTGATGGCAAAGATGTGATGGCGTAGGCTTTCTTGGTGAAACTAAGATATATTTCCCTATACTAATGCAATGTTTCTGACTACTTCTTCGTCTTCTATCTTCGCATTTCCTTTTTTAAAGCTCCCTTTATTTACATGGGCCTTTGGGTTCAAGAGAAAAAAAATTTCTAGTTATTTTATTTGATTGTTCTAAGCAGTTTCTTCTATCTAGTTACCCCCCCCCCCCCCCCCCCCCCACCCAACAGAGCATATTTTTATTTTAAAGCTCCCTATATTTACATAGCCCTTTGGGTTCAAGAGAAAAAAAATTTCTAGTTATTTTATTTGATTGTTCTAAGCAGTTTCTTCTATCTAGTTACCCCCCCCCCCCCCCCCAACCCCCACCCAACAGAGCATATTTTTATTTTAAAGCTCCCTATATTTACATAGCCCTTTGGGTTCAAGTGAAAAAAAAATTCTAGTTATTTTATTAGATTGTTCTAAGCAGTTTCTTCTATCTTGTACCCCCCAAAAGAGCATTTTCTTTTTTAAAGCTCCCTTTATTACATGGCCCTTAAGTTTAATTGAAAGCAAATTCTAGTTATATTTTTAGATGTGTGAATGTGTGACACAGCTAGTCCTGACCACTCATGCTTACAGACTAACAGATATTTCCCATAGTCCTGCTAAGTGCCTGGCTAGCTCATAACTGCAGGCAAGGAACCAACAGTCTGCATATAAACAAGTCAGATCTGTAAAATGGATGTGCAAGCAAAACTCCAGTTCTAGAACAAGACCAAAGTCCAGAAGTGGGCCTCCAGCAAGAACTTTTCTCCAGAGTTGACAGCTGGTGAACGTTAGGAACAAGAACATTTGAGAAAGTGGATATTAACTTGTGATAGGTGTCAGGTCAGTGTTCATGCAGTCGTCCTGTTCACAACAAAACAACATATTCACTCTACAAATCTGTGCACAAAACTCTTGTATATGTTTATATCTATATGTACATGAAATTAAAGACTTGGGATTCATGACTATGCTCAAAGAATACTCAACATGTTCTACAGGCTTGCTCTCTAAATGCAGCAGAGACATCCCAGGTTTGGCATTCCAATGGGAGCCCAGCTGAAACAGTGGAGGACATCTGTCACACCACAGACTTCACAGAGACCTGAGACCTACTTGTCTCAAAACTACTGACAGGGAGAATGACAAGAGGAAGAAGACTATAAAGACTGTTAAATAAGTAATTGATCAGTGTTGTCTTAACATGAGTGCCGTCACCTTCCACATTAAGTAAGCTATACTTAAACCTGAAGATTACCTTTAGCAATGACCGAATACCTTCAAGCATCAATGACACATCACAACACATAACACATGACAATGAATAACAAATCATAACAAAATGCCCTCCTTACTGAGAAGCTGTGATATGAACAGAAGACTCTGCCCCCACATAAAGACTCCCGCAGTCGTGCCCTCGGTGGATGGCACCTTTAGCTGACTTCCTGGGTTGGCTTTCTCCTTCTCAATCAACTGCTTGGGCACATAGTAGTACATGGGTAGCAGTTGACCTGCAAGCAGACAACAGCAACAAATGTAAATCTTTACCAGTTACTCTTCTACACTGAGAGTCATAAAAGATAAATGTACTCTCAAAGCTCTGTGACCTTTGGTTTATTAAAGAGCAACAGATGAGATGGTTTGGCCATCTGGCAAGAATGCCCTGGTACCAACAGCCTTACAGAGTCTGGCTAAAGAAATATCATAAAAGGGAAGACCACAAGGAGATGGAACAAAGGCATCAAGAACAGCCTTAGAGAAATGAAGAGCAACTTATACAATGTGTCAGAGAGCGCACAAATAAGAACGTTACATCTTCCTTCAACACTGGTAAGACCTAACTGGAGGAAGTGAAGAAGAAGAAGACAAGGTGGAAAAAAAAAAGAAGAAGATGAGGAGAAAGTTGAGGACAAAGAAGAAATAGTAGTCACAATAACTAGGCCAATATATTATGAGGTGAGTATTTGGTTCTTTTCCTCACCACATTTTCACTCCAACAGAGACATCAATGAGATGTTAATTTTACAACTCAGTGTATCAGAAGTCAGATTCTTAGCCACAAAAGTCAAACTCTCTGACAATAAAGACATTTAAATAATCTTCAATGTGTCTATAATATCAGACTGGCCTAACTCTGCAGGCATACTAAAGCTTGTAAATATAACCACATCTTTTTCTTCTTAAACCCATTTCCATCTGAACATGTTTTCTGTGACTGCCTAAACTAGTACCCTTTTTCTGAGGGCTGGTGGCTAATTGCTGCAGACATCACATGCCTCCATTCACCTCTGTGACTGGCCCTCTCTTTCCAGTAGCTGACTCCAAAGTGTCTGTAGGTCTGCCTGTATATTGTCTCTTCGCCATCTTCCAGGTCTGCCTGGTCTAATCCCATTCAGCAATTCTGTGTACACAGTTTGGTTTTTTCTTTGTTAACTGCCGTCCTCTGTGTATGCCCCAACTCCCTGTGTGGGTTCCACGGATTGATTGCCCCTAACAAGCATGTTATAAAAGTCTACTAATTAGGTGTGTTTCCTTCTAAATCACAGTACATCTGCCTGAGAGGGGAACGAACAAACTTTATTTTCAGAGGGTCCCAAATTGGGCACGCCGGCCCGTCTTACATTCAGCCCTTCCTGTCAACCATCTTTCGCACAGCAGTTGTATTTTACTAATAAAGCATGTTATGATCATATGATGATATGCATGTTATGAATATTATAAAAGAACACAAAAGCATGAGTTGTAAAGTGCATGCAAAAACCCGTGCGTGCATCCACACACCCATATACATACATACACACACATACACACGCTCACCCACTCACTTACACACACACACATATATGCATGCATATATTACATAGATACAGGCATACATACATACACACATACATACAAACATACATACAGGCATACACACATATATACAGGATACATACATAAATACAAACACACACGTGCGCGCACACAACCTCACCACGCATGCACACACACATATACATACATAATACAGGCATACACACACACAAACATACATATATACATACATACAAACATACAGGGGAGGAACCAACAGTTTACATACTAATAGACCAGATCTGTAAAATGTATGTGCATGGCAAACTCAAATTCTAGAACAAGACTAAAGTCAAGAAATAGATGAGTAATCAGAAATCACTTGCAAACTCAGGGGTAGTGAGCATACTTTGGATCTTTTCTCCAGGCCATGCCGGCATAGTGTGGACTGAATAAGCAGACAGACTGACTAGATCTGCACTACTGGATGGTGAAGTGATACATGACAAGGCAGTTGTGGTCAGAGTCCTTTGGGAACAAGTAAAGAAGTCAGAAGAGAAACTAGATTATCACGGGCTGGAAAGACTGATGTACCTGGGTGTGACCAAAGGGTTCGACCGGCACACTATGCTCAGAGGAAAGGCAAGACGGACATACAACCAGACAATAACTGGCAGCATTATTATTGGAACTCTGTGCTGGCTACTGTAGATGGGGACGAAGTGCGTATGGGAATGCCCCGAGTGCTGTGATGTCAATTCTCAACTCAACTTAACAACTCTGCCAGTTTACAGCCAGTGAACATAAAGAAGATTATTACAGAGGCATGTTATTGAATGATTTACCATCTGCAGATTCATACAACAGCTTGTCTACCATCTCTTGGTAGTGTTTCTGATCTTCTTTGTTGCCACTGAAAATGCCTGCAACACACAACAAAGCATACATTAGATCAATTCTGTCATTTTCCACTTAGCAATAAATACAGAGGAGCAGAGAAGAGCAGAAAAGAAGACTTATCTCAAGTCAGAAGACAGCAGACAACATTAAGACAGCCATTGATATACTGACTAAGCCTTCCTGTATCAAAACCTCAACATGGAGTAAACGTTGTTTACAAAGACTGAAATTATTCTTGTCACCTCTGTACACATGCTAGCCTGCAAATCTGAATGTCGTTGGTTCAAATCCTCTTAAAGCCAAATTTTGTTTCAAACATGACCTTGGCTCACTGGGAGCCAGCCTTATATGGGTACCAGGTAAAGTCCTGGGAAGTAAAGGAGGGCTGGTTGGTCTATACAAATATTAGCCTAACCCCAGATGCCTAATGCACCTGTGGGGTGTAAAGAGACCTTAACTTGTTTCTTTAAACCTCTCTTCACATGCTGACAGGCATGACTTCTTTTTCAGGTTCCTAAGCACATCAGGGTCATTGCTGCAGATATCACCAATCTCCATTCACCTCTGTGACTGGCTTCTCTTTCCAGTTGCTAACTCATTCCAAGTGTAGGTCTATCCAAAATTTATCTCTCCACAACTTCTTGGTCTGCCTCATGGTCTACTCCCTGTCAGCTCTTCTGTGTACACAGTTTGTGCCTCTTTGTTATCTATGATTCTCTCTATCAGCCCCATCCACTGATATCTTCTTCCTCTTCTTCTTCGTGTTCCCTGGCTGTAAACTCTGGCCGTGTTCCCTGGCTGTAAACTCTGGCCGTGTTCCCTGGCTGTAAACTCTGGCCGTGTTCCCTGGCTGTAAACTCTGGCCGTGTTCCCTGGCTGTAAACTCTGGCCGTGTTCACTGGCTGTAAACTCTGGCCGAGTTCACTGGCTGTAAACTCTGGCCGTGTTCCTTGGCTGTAAACTCTGGCTGTGTTCCCTGGCTGTAAAATCTGGCCGTGTTCCCTGGCTGTAAACTCTGGCCGTGTTCCCTGGCTGTAAACTCTGGCTGTGTTCACTGGCTGTAAACTCTGGCCGTGTTCCCTGGCTGTAAACTCTAGCCGTGTTCCCTGGCTGCAAACTCTGGCCATGTTCCTTGGCTGTAAACTCTGGCCGTGTTCGCTGGCTGTAAACTCTGGCCGTGTTCCCTGGTTGTAAACTCGGGCAGAAATTCTGGTTGTTTATCCAGCTCTGGATGTTAGTCTTGTTCCAGAACATGAGTGTTGCATGCACATCTGTTTTACAGATCTGGCTTATTTGCATGTTTTTAATAATATGGGTGAAGCAGAAACTGAGTATTCCTAGAACTCAAGCATATCCAGCTTTGTTGTTTTTGAGCCTAGCCGTCTGCCACATTAGGCCAGGTACTGCACAGTCTAATGTAGTCACTCCATCTCAGGACAGTACAAGATGCCGACGTTTGACATTTCCAGAAGCAGTCCTGTCTTGGAACTATCCTGACTTTATTCTTCTTATTCTCAAACCCCTGAGGTTCTAGTGTGTCACTGGCAACTTTGGAAGTCAAAACGTATTTAAAAACTAGAACGAATCATACTTAAAATATTCTATATTTTGGAAATTTTCTCATTTTTGAATGTTGGCAATGCAGTCATTCTTACAGCCTACTCATTCTGATTTTCAATAGCTGAAGAGTTTCTAATTACACAATATGTACAAGGATCACCTATCTGTCTGAATTTGTCAAATAAGGAAATATCTGACCAACTACTTGAAGACAGGAAACAGTGTAGACATCTGACCCCACTGAGATTCCAATGGAGCACTTTTCATATTAGAAACGAGTAGGGTATTTTGACTGACAAGTTGGTGTTTGTATAAGTAAGCGATGATCGCTGAGAGACTAACACTATAGTGGCACAACACATGATTCCGACAACTTACTGTCAATCAGCAGGTATACGTAAAACATTGGCCACTCAGATTCAATGCCGTCAAAATTCTGGGAAAGGAAAATGAATTCAGATGAAAGCAACCCGTAGCTTTTTAAACTAGCTTCAAATACATAAATAAATGGATATCTTGGTCACTAAACCTTATATCCAATGAGCCAGCTGCACCAGAATTGCCAGTTTTTGCCAGTGTAACTAACATGACATGTCCCTGTAACATGCCATTCTCAGAATGAGTCCCATGCTTAGTCACTACACTGATGGGCAAAAGTTTAGGACCACCTAGTAATTTGATGTCTCCGCACTATTACAGAGTCTTCTTTTTCTTCTTCTCTTTCTTCTTCTTCTTCATGTTCACAAGCTGTAAACTCTTTCAGGATTGAGCAATGCTGTGTGTGTGTTGACTGAGAAGTTATGATTTTACCAAACCATACAGTGTGCATCAATTGTGTGTCCCGTACATACTGATTCGTATACTGCTCCGTATTGGCTTTTAATATTCGGAACTAAAATCAAAATATTCAAAGAAGGTAACTCTAACATTTTTACTCTGTGATGTCCTGGGCATGTAACTGTGGTTGAGTCTAGGGCACATGGATGTTTTGTCTTGGGCATGTAACTGTGGTGAGTCTAGGGCCCATGGATGTTTTGTCTTGGGCATGTAACTGTGGTGAGTAGGGCACATGGATGTTTTGTCTTGGGCATGTAACTGTGGTGAGTCTAGGACACATGGATGTTTTGTCTTGGGCATGTAACTGTGGTGAGTAGGACACATGGATGTTTTGTCTTGGGCATGTAACTGTGGTGAGTCTAGGGCACATGGATGTTTCGTCTTGGGCATGTAACTGTGGTGAGTCTAGGTCACATGAATGTTTTGTCTTGGGCATGTAACTGTGGTGAGTCTAGGGCACATGGATGTTTTGTCTTGGGCATGTAACTGTGGTGAGTCTAGGGCACATGGATGTTTTGTCTTGGGCATGTAACTGTGGTGAGACTATGGCACATGGATGTTTTGTCTTGGGCATGTAACTGTGGTGAGTCTAGGGCACATGGATGTTTTGTCTTGGGCATGTAACTCTGGTGAGTCTAGGACACATGAATGTTTTGTCTTGGGCATGTAACTGTGGTGAGTCTATGGCACATGGATGTTTTGTCTTGGGCATGCAACTGTGATGAGTAGGGCACATGAATGTTTTGTCTTGGGCATTTAACTGTGGTGAGTCTAGGACACATGGATGTTTTGTCTTGGCATGTAACTGTGATGAGTAGGGCACATGAATGTTTTGTCTTGGGCATTTAACTGTGGTGAGTCTAGGGCACATGACTGTAGTGTCATGGGCATATGACTGTAGTGTCATGGGCATATGACTGTGGTGAATCTGGCCTGGCCCCTGAGTTAATCGTATGTATCAAATCCCAAAAAATAGTTGACACATTCAATTTATGGGGACAGATTCTATCGAGTTTGTTCTCTAGACAGTTGCAGCTCCCCCACTGACAAGATTCTGTCTTCCTGGAGAGCAGGCCACTGCAGTCAAAACACTGTGAAGGCAGCATGGTTGAGTAGTCAAATCTATTGGTCATAATCCTGCTCCGACCTAGAACAACCACACTACACACTAATCCCATATCCTGCATTGGAAATACGCACAAAATAGCAGTCCGTGATAAGGGAACAGAACAATCCGAAAGAATTTACAGTCATTAAAAAAAATCACACAGCCACTTGTCACCATATTGATAACTGGAGTCGTAAGGAGTCTAGGGCACATGACTATGGTGTTTTGGTTCATTTCATCCTACCAACATCACGCAGGCAAGCATCAACCCCATTGCACTATCGCCGCTCCCCTCGTGTTCAATTCAATAAAATTAAAAATCACTTTCTGTTAACTTTTACTATTCTGCCTCATGCAAACGACTTTATTGAAAAAATTACCTTGATTTCCGCGGGACGATAGTACTTCCTGTTTTTATCTTCAATAACAGTTTTATAGCCATCCCGCAGGAAGCGCTTAACCCCCCACTGGCCCTTGAGCTTACGGATGACTTTATCTATGGTTCTGTGTCTGACTTGCTCTTCATGAATGGCGAAGGCTGGCCAGCAAACAGTTGGCAGAAGTGAAGCATCTGTATTCTGAAATGTCATGTAAACACTTTGAGAAACATAATCAAATATTTTGGACACTGTTTTTTCTTTCCCCCTCTAGACCAGAATCATACATCATCCTCATGTGGCAGGTCTTTGGGAGAACACTTTGCCCACACAGCCCAACAATAAGAATCTCAATCCCTTGCCTTCTCTCCTGCCTTGTATCTCCCATGTCCATCTTCTACAATCACACATCACTGACATTTTCTTAATCTTCTATTTTTTCTTCTTCTTTGTGTCAATTTCAGCAAAAAGTTCTGGTTGTTCTACCACTTCTGAATTTTGTTCGTATTCCATAACTTCAGATTTGATTGCACATCAGTTTTACAGATTTGGCTTATTTGTATGTTGACTGTTGGCATGAAAGAAAAATAGAAGTCTGTGAAATGAAATGTCTAAGAAAAGCAGCGAATAAGACCAGACTAGACAGGATAAAGAATATAGACATTAGAAACACTGTCAAAACTACACCATGTTTAGACTACATAGAACATCAAAGAATGAAATGGTTTGGACATCTAACCAGGATGAAAAATGATCAAATAACATCACAAATTTTCAACCAAAGGAGCTCAGGATATAAGGCAAGAGGAAGACCAAGGAAACTGTGGATTGACGGGGTCTCCGAAACCTGCCAAAAGCATGGCCTCAGAACATCAGATGCTGCCCGCCTTGCTTATGACAGGAACTTGCATCTCCCCACAACGCTTAGCGGCATACGTGGAAGGAAAAAGTAAAGTAAAGTAAGACTGTTGGCTCCTGGCCTCTCAGGCAAATGCACTTGGCCTAACACCTAATTAGTCGATTCTTACAACATGATTGTTAGACAGGCAGTGGGTTTATCCCCCCCCCCCCCCCAATCCCAATAGGGCCCAGGAATCCACATGGGGGAAAATACAGCCAATCTCTGCTTGGATTGACAGTCTCTATGGTGAAATGTCCAAGCCATTAGCCTTGTGCTATGAAGGTTGTGGGTAGGTTTCATGAAAGTGTTGTTCAGTTGACAAGCATTGTTTTTATGGAGATCCCTAGGGATCATAACTGGAGCTACAGAGTGTGTGCCAAAGTCATATGGGATAAAACCTAGCACAATGAAGTCAATCCTCTTGGCTTTAATTTTGCTGGGATTTTAACAATAAATACAACCAATCATTGCTAAACTGTTAACAATTACAACCACTTTCTGCTGATCTGTTAACGACAATCATTAGCAGTCCTTGCTGGGCTCAAAGAAACACAATCAAAATTCCAACACAAAAGGGAGAGAAGAGGGGGGAACTACTGCTACAGCACTCACTACCTGTTATCTCTCTTTCTTCTTATTTGTGTGGTTGTAGACTAGACTAGAAGTGAGGAAGAATAAGATGAAAGAAGAAAAACTTTTCCTCACTGCTGGGTTATATCACATCACTGACACCACACTCTAATCTAGCACCATGCAAGTTCTGGCCCCTGAAAAGGACACAACAGGTTTCAGGTTTGAACAACGGATCAACATCATGGGCCATGGGTAGTAACCCATTAGTGCTCCGTTCTTCTTCTGAGTCCGAAGAAGCTCAGCTCAGTGCAAAAGCTGTGAAGCACCAGCGAGGATCCTGAAATAATTTGGGTAGATTTTTAATTCCAAATTTTGCCGCAGCGCCATTAGGTTACTCTTTTCGATTTCCAACTGCCAAGGGATTTTTTACGTGCGCAACAATGCACACAGGCGTCCGATCCCACTACCCAGAGACCCGGGGGAATTACCAGAAGTCCAAGTCCACGTGAAAAAATCCCAGCCTTGACCGGCAATTGAACCCGGCACCTCTAGCACTCGAGACGGACACCATGCCTCGAGACCATGCAGCCCCCACATTACTAAAGCTGGGCAAATGTCTGAAAATATTGTCATAAGGGGCAAAAGATATAAACACCTTTGTGGATTTCTTGGGCCAATAGATGAAAGCAAAAAATGTATGTTACACAGTAACTTACAAGCATGACATATTAGACCAGTAAAGAATGGTGGCATAAGATTGGCTACCTAATTCTGCAAAAATCTTTAGCCACAAAAGGTCTCCCAAATGTTTGGCATGAGTCTGATAAAAGGTCTATGTTACACTGGAAAAAAAAAGACAGCTAAAACAACAGTAAAGGTCAAACAAAGTGTTATGGCTTTGTATTTTTTAACCACCCTTTAAAAAAAAAAATTATGTCGCATGTATTCAAACTTGAGTCACCTAGTGTCTGAAATCAGTACCCATACACCCTTCACTGGTATGTTTGTTTTTACCAAAGAGTCATGTCTTACTTTTGAATTGGATTCTCTCGGCAGGATAGTCTCAAAGATGGTTCTATTCCTGTTGTGGGCATCAATGTCCACAAAGATAACCGACCAGGCAGCTCCATATTCCCCAAACAAGTTGCAGCCATTGACAGCTTCTAGGGCAGCTTTGGCCATCCCTATAGAACTGTGAACACCACAACACATGACACATGTAGAACCATATTTTGTTGCTGTACAGCATAAAGAATTATGTGAAACCCTAAGCTAATGAAATTAATAAATACAATTGTATTAAAATAATGAAGAGATTATTTGATAAATATATTTCATTTACTGGCCATATAAAATACTGGACATCGAAAAACGACCACTGAGAAGCAAAAATTGTGGTATATATTTTCACCACACTGCAATTTCAACATTATAGCTTATCAGGAAATACTTCAAAAATCAAACGGGAACGGCGATCCAGACAAACATTTTTAATCATAATAAAAGCTTACAAATAATTACAAGTGAAGGAAGTGATAATGACTTCTACAGTAATCACAAGACTAAGTAACGTCTATTCTTATTATATAATTACAAAACAGAAACTGAGCTTTCATTGTCAGTTGCATAATTTCTTCTTCCTCTTAGCATTCACCGGCTGTAAACTCCGGCTGAAAGTTCTGGTTGTTCATCCATCCCTGGACTATGGTCTTAATCCGGAACCTGAGTTTTGTGTGCACATCCATTTTACAGATCTGGGTTAACTGTATGCAGACTGTTGGTTCCTTGCCTCTCAGTCAGAAGCCCTCTTACTGTGAAGGAAACTCTCTTATTTAGTTGCCTCCTAGGACATGCTTATTAGGGGGCAGTGGGTCTATTCTTTCTTCTCCAAAATTGAGCCCCTTAACCCACAGAGGAAGCTGCACAATAAAATAATCATCATTAAGGATCCAACATAATTTCTCTCCAGGTCTACCTCTGTCTCTTCTATCACTGACTGTTTCAGCTGGCAGAATGTTCACCAGCAACTGTTCACATAACCACAGAATACATGTGTCAATCAGATTTGCATTCTTTTTGTGTGACCTTTATCCTTCAATAAAACACAGGCCCTCAACAAACAAACCGTTATACTTTATGTAACTCATTGTATGCTTTCTCTGCCTTAGTCACCAATTACATCCCCCCCCCCCCCCATATTCTGAAGAGACAACTGGAGGAAGAGAAGAAAAAGATAATCAAATTTGTAAATTCTCCTGAAATATCATCAACACAACCTGAAGAATGGCTTTGGAAGTCGTCCAGCCACTTTTATTGTCACAAGGTGTCAGCAGTACAGACAAGACAACAACAACAACAAAACAATTCAAGGAACATCAAATACTAGAGAGAAAAGGTCTGATTTACACAAAGTAGCTATGTCCTACCTGGCATGTATCTCTGTACTGCCATTGTTGTACTTGCTCCCTCTCTCCCACATCCCATAGTCTGGAGTTCTGTATGCTCGTTCCACATAAAACACCAAGTTTTGAACAAAGTTCACTTCGTCAGTCGAATATATAACCTGAGACATCAAAATGATCTTGTTTAGCAACAATATTTATTACCGAATAATTTATATAGCCAATAGGCAGTTTTCTTGATCGACCAGACCAGGAACTGAGCCTCAAGAGGCGGGGGTATGAAGTGTTGGTGTTGTGGTTCCCCCCACCCCTACTTCACCCTAGGTGAAGTCTTTTGGAATGGAGTATGTCATAATCACATTACATAATTGAGTCTTAGTTACTCATTCAAGAAGAGTCCCATCTGGTTATTTATTTCTCAAACTCAGTGTGTCGAATACACGCTACTGTGTAAGACTACTCCACTAGAACAGTGTTTTCCAACGTGGGGTCCACGCACCACATGGGGGGGGGGGGGCATTTGACTGTTAAGGGAGGGGGTGGGCTTTCTGTTAAGAAGGGGCAACTCAAAAATGGACTCGCCCAGAGTTTAAGTTACACGGAGAGCATACAAATGTTACAAAGGTTCAGGTGGGACAAGGCACACAAGAGGTTGGGAAACACTGCTCTAGACAGTCTTCATCATAGGCAGAAGAGTCTGTCTAACTGGGTCAGATGTTTTCTCAAACGTTTTGCCACAGCCTTTCAGTCTACTTTCAGTGCTTTCCAAAAGACATTAGATGATGTATGTGTGCAATTAGCATAAATGATTTCCTTATGCTCTTATCTGAGGAGGCTAGAGATTAATTTTACTGCACAAAAGAGCAGGGTAATGTAAAATATTACAAAAACTGCCACCTTATGAATGAATCAAACTCAGTAATTGCAGTTTCTGTGGCAGACATCATAACCTCTCAAACTTGCCATCTTCTTGAATAAATTCAAAGCACTGCAAGGTTTTAGGTCACCAAAAGAGCCAGATCTGTGAAGAGGCGAGACTGCTAAAGATGAGACATATGAAGATGGTAACACAAAACTCAGTGACTTGATGAGTATGATCAGGAAGATAGAGAAGGGCTGGGTCCAAAGGCAGTGGTTGGTGGCTCTACAGCGCTCACGGCTGACAAGGATTAATTTCATTTTCATGCCAGGACATGTAGGAGTACAAGGAAATGAGCAAGCTGATAGGCTTGCAGGTAAGGCTACTATGAAAGCCGGAAAAGCCGTGGACCTGGCTGATATACTGAATGCTCTACCAGAGTTAAGATGTTAGCGTGAACCAACTGAGAACTGTGAATCTGTAACCATGACTGCAAGAGCAGCAAGTTAAACAGGGTGTCGTTAAACAAGAACACTACGCGGGTAACCCAAGAATATTAATAAACCAACACAGAACTGGTGCTGTCAGCCGCTACACGTTGCGGGATTTACTGAGGAGGGGATCCGAGCACTTTTGGACTGATTGGTTCGAAGTGTGATGAGGATAATCTGTCGACTAACAAACTAACACAAAACTAGCTCACACATACCACATATTTCACAAATACAAAAGAAAAATAATACAGTATATGCACCTACCTGAAGACCGGATGATATCATCTGACTAAGGAATAACAAAAATAATGCTACAGCATCAATCTGTGGACAGAGTAATTCACTTTAATATCCTATTATAAATATTTCCCTAAATAACAAGCAACTGTAATATGAAAGTGTATTTGATATCCTGGTTTAGGAAGAAGACAAAACACTGGCACACTACATCAGGGCGATTCAACATTGCAACAATGGTTTGAAAACTACAGTTATTAAAGGCCACACTTAATCATTGCAACAATGGCTTTGAATGAACAATTATTAAACGCCACACTTAATCATTGCAACAATGGTTTTGAATAAACAATTATTAAACGCCACACTTAATCATTGCAACAATGGTTTTGAATGAACAATTATTAAACGCCACACTTAATCATTGCAACAATGGTTTTGAATGAACAATTATTAAAGGCCACACTTAATCATTGCAACAGTGGTTTTGAAAGAACAATTATTAAAGACATGGTTTCCGAAGGACAGGGTTATGCTGATCAGTAAGGAATTGGATGTTGGACATTTTAAACATTTTAGGCACGAAAATACATGAGGCAGGAGATGTGGCAATGAATCAACAGTCTTTGGGATGTGCGGTATTCTTCTTTTTCTTAGGGTTCACTGGCTGTAAACTCTGACAGAAAGTTCTGGCTGTTCATCCACTTCTGAACTTTAGTCTTGTTAATGAATGGTTCTGTTTGTTAGTCCACTTCTGCACTTTCACCTTGTTACAGAACCTAAATTTTTGCAAGCAGATCCATTCTACAGATCTGCTTATTTTTATACAAGCTGTTGGTTCCTGGCTGCTCAGGCAGATGTGCTCTGACAATGGAGGGAAAATTACCAATAAGTTGCCTATGCCAATATGCTTGACAGGGTGGCAGTTTATTCAATGTCTTGTATTCACTTTGCAGAGCTCAGTCTCTACCTCATTTTTCTAGAAACTGCATCCTCCAACACCATTCTCTCCACGCCACCATGACGCTTAAAATGGCCAAAATACCTCAGCTTTCGGGACATAGGTAAAGATAAGTAAAAAAGCAAAGTAAAGACCCCTTTTCCATGCCTTTGGAGCCAAGGTAAGTTTTGAAGAAAAAAAAAAATCTGGCTCCATCAGGACCTAATCCCATGAACTTCCGATCCACAGGCGAGTATCTAGCCTCTACACCACGGCGTCTCCCATTGGTGAAGATACCAGACCTCTAATCAGAATGGGCATGCCTGGTGAGCTACAATGTTGATTCTTAAATCAGTGATCAGAATGTTTATATTCAAAGTTCATTACCTGTAGATGTTCATACTCATCATCCCTATAAGTTGGGTCACCAGTCAAAGTGTCAAAGGTTGAATGCAACGCAAATGCTGGACTCTGGTTAGATTTGAACTTCTCTACCTGTCGGAAACAGACAAACAGTATCAAAACTTACAAATCTGAAAGAGTTTTAAAACAGTATACACAAACAACAACAAAAACTCACATAGAAAGATAACTTACTTACAAAGTAAAACCTGGAAATGATAGGGAAATAGTTTTAAAAATGTTGGGAAGAAATTAATAAAGGAACTTTTTTGACTAGGCTCATGTTTTATATAAACCATTTGGTGGTACCTTTTTTTAATGGTACCACCAAATGCAAGCAAGTTAAAGAAACAATTCTGAGATCATGCATCTTTTCCAGAGCAATTTATGGATGTCACTCTCACTTGGTTTTTGAAAAAAAAAAATCTTGAGTTTCTGAACTGAAAGTCTACAGAAATATTCTTAGGATACCGTGGACCAAGAAAAAGAAAAACATAACACATCCTACATGATCTGAACATTAAGGAAAACTGGCTCATAAACAGCATCCTCTCCTGAAAGCTGAGGTATTTAAGACATGTCAAACGTCATGGTGGAACCAGAATTGTGATGGAAGGTGCAGTTCCCAGAAAATGGGGCAGAGGCCGACCACCATGAAGGTGGACACAGGACACAGAAGATGCATTGGCTATGAAAGCACATAGGGCTGAATACCTGGCTAGAGAAGAGACTTTCAGGTGTGCCATAAAGAGAGCGGCACTCTGCAAAGAAAATACTGGTTAACTGACTGAGAACCCTTTTTGTCTAGGCTTTAGCCACTACACTAACGTGACCACAAACTATTTGTCTCAAAAATTAACCTAGAAATCCTTTTCCTTCAAATGATATAACTTTTTCGTAGTCAAGGATGAGAAAATCAAAAGCAACAGAATAATCATTTAGAAAGTTTTCATCAGTCCTTTTGTTTTTGTAGTTTTTTTGTATAGTTGTAGCAATATATTTTTGAATGCTAATAAAGGCTTTCGAGCTACAGCACCCATTATGTCACTTGTAACTGTGTTCTTCTGATGGTAGCCAATTCCATTTCCCATCTAGCTCATTGATGTTCATAGCTTTACTGCCAACTCATTCCCCATAGAACAAAATCACCACAATGAGGTGATTCAGCTTCTCGTGGCTGAATCTGGATTTGGAGACCAACAACAAAAACCCACACACCTTGTCTGCTTGTCTGATCCAGCACTGTAAAATTCCTCTCATACTTTTTACTGCTGCTTGTCCAAGCTCATGCGCCCTGCCCTGGTCATCGTCGATCTTCCTATAAACATTACAAACAGTTTAGCTTCAGTCAACAGAAACATCACAAACAGTTTAGCTACAGTCAACAGAAACATCACAAATAGTTTAGCTTCAGTCATCACAGACATCACAGTTTAGCTTCAGTCAACAAAGATGTCACAAACAGTTTAGTTTCAGTCAACAGAGACAACACAAATATAGATGGTCAGAGGGCATAATGTAAATGTTGATTCTGACAGGGTAAGAATTACAAAATTACTGATGTTCTTTTGAATAGATACAATTAATGCTCTGTTGGTTGGAGGAATTACAAAATGGCTGGGGCTCTGATGGACAGAAAAAAACAACAGGGATCCGCTAGGTGAAAGGCTGAAAACACTCTTGAGGTTCATCATGGATAAAACAAAGCAACAATCACTGACAACATTCTGGATGGTAGCATAATGACTGACTGTCAGCTGGGTTAAAAAAAAAAAGTGGTTTAGATTCTACAGGATGAATGTTACGGATGAAGAGCTTCTGGTTGGGAATAAAGAGACACAAGTTAGTTGAAAAAATAATATACTTTTTCTTCTTCACCAGCTGTAAACTTTAACAGGAAGCCATACTTGTTCATTCAATTCAGGACCAATCTTATTCAAGAATATTAGTTTTGTGTGCATATCTATTTTATACATTTGGCTTATTTAAATGCAGACTATTAGTTCCTCGCGTCTCAGGCAGATGCACTCTGACTTTGAAACATCCCTAATTAGTCGACTCTTGCGACGTGCTTATTGTACGGGGAGGGGGGGGGGGGGGCAGTTGCCATATTTTCTTCCCCACACAACTGGGGCTTTGGAACCCACAGGGGGAAACAAACTGATATTGCTAGATGACAGAATGATGAGACTAAAGATTTCCTTGGTGAAAGACTGATGATGTGCTCGGTGACAGAATGATGAGACTAAAGTGACTCCCTGACTGAAAGAATGACGCTGAGGCTCAACTCAATGAAGAATGACCAGGCAATGAAACTAATTAGATGAACTGAAACAAACAATAGCCTTATGAACCTTTCCCTGTCAGAATATATTGGTGCTTACTCAAAATAAGAGGAACAGACCTCAAGTAACAATGGGGAGTTTATCATCATAAATGATTTCATACTCATGAAGTATGACCCTATACTTGCGACCCTTGTGTGGGTGGAACGACCCTTTCATAGGGGTCGCCAAAGACCATCGGAAGACATATATTCACTGAAGCTATGAAGTAGCAACGAAAATAATTCTATGGATGGGGGTCACCACAACATGAGAAACTGTTTTAAAGGGTCGCCACATTATGAAGGTTGAGAACAAATACATCAGAGAGTAAAGGGCAAAAGATGAAGAATCATCAGTATTTTATTGTATGCATTAAACTGCATGTCTCTGAGGAAGTTCCTAAAGGCTTTAACATGCTGTCTATGAACAAAAAACAGTCTAAGTGCATCTTAACCACAGGTGGCTTACTTGTAAGCTTGTGATAACGACCACACTGCCACAGCGCAGTAAATGGTGTCTCTCACATGTGCGATTCTGTTGGTGTTTTTTTCTGAGCCAATTGACGGGAACAGGCCTAAAGTTGGACTTTGATATTGAAGAATCTGTCTTTTCACTGATGAAAGAAAACAAAACTGCATTGTATGAATATACTCCTAGTAATCAACTACATGTCAGTGTATCAAATATAAAGGTTACAATTTACTGCCAAATCTCTGATCTCTTTCTTTCTCCCCATCACATGCTAATAAGTATTCTTTGATCTAATTCTACTAAATGCTTTTCCTAGCCTTAATATTTTCAGTTAAATTACTAATAGTTAATGAGCTTTTCAGTGGCTGGAATCACAAGGCTATTCCCATGTGTGTGTACTGAATGATTTCATGAACATGATCTGGTGGGTCAAGGAGGTTCTGTACACACACAGCGGATTGAGTCACTGCAAAAATCCACCACATGTGAAGTTACTTTCATCTGTGTTCCCTGTGCATGTGAGTTATAGATTCACTGGCAATGACACTGCTGCAGCTGGTCAGCATATGGATCATGCCAACACTGTGATCTTACTCTTATGTTAGAGTCATCCCCAAGATTCAAAGGGGAGTCAGAGTGGCTAAATCCTTGCCTACCAGTCTGAAACATTTTTTTTTAAATTGACCCAGGGCTCCTATGTTGACAAAGTCTAGCATCTGTATTTGGGTTTCGCAGCCTCATTATGAGGAAAACAAGAATAGACCCACTGCCTCCCAGCTAGCATGTCGTAAGAGTCGACTGACTCGGGGCTTCCTTTGAAGTCAGAGTGCATCTGCCCGGGGGGCAAGGAACCAACAATCTGCATACAGATAAGTTGGATCTGTAAAACAGATGTGCAAGCAACACTCAGATTCTGGAACAAAAGACTCAAGTCTAGAACTTTGCACTGGGGTTTACAGCCAGTGAACGCGAAGAAGAAGAAGAAGAAGAAGAAGAAGAAGACAAAGCTTCAAAAAGTACCAGGTAATGTCCTGATAAGTAAAGGTGGTCACATCAACCGTTGAGTATTGATTGGTCTATATTTAAATTTATGTTCTTCTTCTTCTTCGCCTTCACCAGCTGTACACTCTGGCGGAAAGTTCTGGTTGCTCATCCACTAGTGAACTGCAGTCCTGCTCCAGAACCTGAGTGTTGCGTGTGCATCAGTTTTACAGATCTCATTCTCTTGAATAAGACTGTTGGTTCCTTGCCTCTCCGGCAGATGCACTCCGACTTCAAAGGAAGCTCCCCAATTAGTCGACTCTTACGACATGCTTTTGGTAGGCAGTGGGTCTATTCTTGTTTTCCCCATAATGGGGCCCCCAGAACCCACACGGGGGACAACAAGACTAAAGAACTGACTATCAATTTTAGTCTGAACTAAGTCAATTTCTGATTTGAAAAGGCCAATTTATGTTCTGAAAATTATTTACTTTTCTTCTTCACATAAACTAGCTGCCAACTGGCTGAAAGTTCTGGTTGTTTGTCCACTTCTGAACTTTAGTCTTGTTCCAGAACTTAGGAGCTTGCATGCACATCCGTTGACAGATCTGGCTTATTTGAATGCAGAGTCTTAGCTTCCCACCTCTCAGGCAGATACTCTCTAACTTTGAATGCAGAGTCTTAGCTTCCCACCTCTCAGGCAGATACTCTCTAACTTTGAATGCAGAGTCTTAGCTTCCCACCTCTCAGGCAGATACTCTCTAACTTTGAATGCAGAGTCTTAGCTTCCCACCTCTCAGGCAGATACTCTCTAACTTTGAATGCAACACCCCTAATTAGTCAACTTTTCGACTTTAAAAGCATGCTTGTTGAAGTGGGGGAGAGGGGGAACCCTCAAATGGGATCCCAGAACCCACCCAACAAAAAAGGGTATTTAAAGACAAGTGGATTAACGGCACTGCGGCACTGCATTGGGTTTTATCTGGTATGGCTAGGTCTTCCTCCAAAGAGTGGCTGTTTGCCTGCTAGAAGTTGCACAAAGCACGAAACTGTAGCTCCAGCAATGACCCTCAGCTATTTCTGAAACTCTTGCACTCATGAAGCCAATGACAGTCCAACATCTCTTTTTTCTTCTTATTCTTTGGCTAACCACCGTAGTGTAGCAGCTAGACCTTCGCCTCAGGCTGAAAGGTTGTAGGTTCAAATCCGTATTGAACCCCACTACACTCTTTCAAAACATTTTCTTGACTCCCAGGTTGAAGCAGCCTAAAATGGGTACCAGGTGAAGTCTTGGGAAGTAAAGGCGGCTGACATAATGGTGACTTCATCACTCACTAAGTGCTGATTGGTGTATAAAGAATGCATCTAGCACTATATGCCCAATAAGCTTAATGGTGGGAAAAAGGGGTCCTTTACTTTACTGCTTGTGAACTCCAGAAAGTCCTGGTTGTTCATCCACTTCTGGACTTTGATCTTGTTCCAGTACTTGAGTTTTCCATGCACATCAGTTTCCCAGATCTCGCTTATTTGTATACAGACTGTTGGTTCTTGATCTTTTAGACAGATGCACTCTGACTTTAATGGAAACAATTCTAATTATTTGCCTTTTATAACATGCTTGTTGGGGGCAGTGGATCTGTTCTAATCCCCCCCCCCCAAAACGGGGTCCCTAAACCCACACGCAGAAGTCCAAAATCAAAGCCACAACCTTCACTGTGAGGCAAATTAGCGCAACCATTTCACCACAGAGATCACCGGGGATTCTGTTCTGGTGGTATACAGAGGTTTTTGAACAAAGGATCAACATCATGGCCCACGGGTGTAACCCATAAGTGTTCCGTTCTTCTTCTAACTCAAGTCTGAGTGAGTCCGAAGTTTGAACAACGATCAACATCATGGCCCACGGGTGTAACCCATAAGTGTTACATTCTTCTTCTAACTCAAGTCTGAGTCCGAAGTTTGAACAACGGATCAACATCATGGCCCACAGGTGTAACCCATAAGTGTTCCGTTCTTCTTCTAACTCAAGTCTGAGTGAGTCTGAAGTTTGAACAACGGATCAACATCATGGCCCACGGGTGTAACCTATAAGTGTTCCGTTCTTCTTCTAACTGAAGTCTGAGTCCGAAGAACCTCAGTACAGTGCACAGGCTCTGTAGCACCCGCAAGGATTCTGAAATACTTTGGGTAGATTTTTAACTTCAAATTTTGCCCGGGCAGCGTCGTTAAGCTACTCTTTTAGATTCCCAACTGCCAAGAGATTTTTTACGTGTGCGTCAATGCACACGGGCGTCCGATCTCACTACCCAGATACCAGGGGGAATTACTAGAAGTCTAAGTCCACGTGACAAAATCCGAACCTTACCATGGATTGAACCTGAAACCTCTAGCAATCAAGGCGGACACCATGCCTCGAGACCACGCAGCCTCCCTGGTGGTTTGCAATGGCAGGCATACCAACTTTGTTTCTAGAAAAATTGCCCCGAAGACCCTACCATGTAAACACACCATCTATCCATCTGATTCACATTAGACTGTCATCATCATCATCATGATAAATTAATCACTAAATAGTGAGAAAAGAAAACCAACAAACGTACATAACATGTAATAATCATTCAGCTTAACACTCAGTATATGGGGCTCTTTCTCCTTCACTGGTATAAGTCCAACCCTCGAATCACGGTTAGCATAGATGGAAGATGCAGCCATGTTTGTTCAGGGGCACTTTGAATTCTTTATAAGTGAATGTCAATAAGTGACATCAAATTTCTCTTAATTTTTTTCTCAGGAAATCATCTGATCTGTTGGAAATAGAAAGAAAATGTAGCATTTCAAACAAAATTTCATTCTGAACATCTAATCTGCAAAATATCTGTTTAAATGTGACATGACTTGAGTGAGATTATACATGCCATTATTGTCCAGTCTTGTATTCCTATAGTATTAAATCAGTCAAGAACAAGGGCAGCTGAGCAGCACAGGCCGGCTAGAAAGACTTGTACAACAGGTCCCTTATCTAGAGTCACTGTTCCCTGTCGTCACTGTTCCCTGTCATCACTGTTCCCTGTCGTCACTGTTCCCTGTCGTCACTGTTCCCTGTTGTTACTGTTCCCTGTCGTCACTGTCCCAGACCCTTCCAGTCCCATACTGGGCTTATGTCACCTCTCGAATCACAGAACTCGGCTGAGGTTTCATGACAAATGAGAGAAGGAGTGGTCCTCACCATTTGTGATGGACGAACAACACATACAAGCAGTTTCGGCGGACTCACAGAATTAAAACCAGCTAAGAACTAACAGAATATCACCATAATCATCATCCTGTGCCCAACAGATAAGCACAGGTAGCCATGGATCACCATCACACAAGATCACCAGACTCTTCTTCTTTGCATTCACCGGCAATAAACTCCGGCAGACAGTTCTGATTGTTTGTCCACTTCTGGACTTTGGTTTTGGTACAGAACTTGATTTTTACATGCATATGCATTTTACAAATCTGACTTATTTGTATGCAGACTGCTGGTTCCTGGCCTCTCAGGCAGATGCACTCCATCTTCAAAGGAAATACTCCTAATTAGTTGATTTTTATGACATGCTTAGAAGGGCAGTGGGTTTATTCCTTTTCCCCCTAAAATGGAGCCCTAGGGCCCACACAGGGAATCACCAGAAACATGGATCAGTGGAGTGCTCTTGTTTGTCCACACCCACCCTGGGTTTCATAGACTGAACATTGAGAAAACTGTTATAATACCTGCTCTTTCAAACATTTCAGTGTTTGTGATCATGTCCCGCCACTTAATGCCAAGTATTCTTCTCAGGCATTGCATGTGAAAGCTATTTAGCCCTTTCTTCTGGTGCGAATAAGTTGACTAAGTTTTACTGCCATAAAGCATAGTGCTGATAACACAAGTCTGACAGACAAGTTTTTGTTTTAATCTAGAGCTTTCTGTTCTCCCAAATTCTTTTTGATAATCTGCTCATTGTTGTTGCTGCTTACCTCTCCTGATTTCTTGGTCTGGCAATAGTTTTTTATTCACTGCGGATCCCAGATAGGTAAAATGGTCAACTGTCTCTAGCTCTTAACCATCAGCGTAGACAACATCTGAGTACCCGATTCTGATTTCCAACTCTTTACTTAGAGCTTAAGTATTTTTAGAAAGGCATTTTTATTCCAAATTCAAGGTTGACATAAATAAAGACAGCTCTGCATTAATGAGAAGGCCATCGTGGTGTAGTTGGTAGACACTCGCCTGTGGATCTCAAGGTCATGGGTTCAAATCCAGATGGTGCTCCCAGGTCAAGCCAGTCTTAAATGGGTACCCTGCCAAAAGTAAAGGTGGTCGGCGTGATGTTGACCATATCACCCACTGTTTGTTTGGTCTATATACAATATAGGTCTAGCCATATAACTTATATGTAATATCATAAGCTCAAAATCCAAAACCCCTGGAAAAGGGTCCTTTTGTTGGTTTAGTGAAGTGTTATTGACGAGCGATCAGCGATGTGAGGTAGAAACGTGTTATTACTAGCCTGATGAATATTAAATGTGGACAACAGAATTCATACAGCAATGCAATAAAATCAGGACGAGGTCACAACAAATGAGACAGTCTCTCTACTAGTACTACTATATGCAAAAATAAGTTGCTATCTTGCTACCACCTACAGCCAGGTTTATGCTAAATCAAGTGTAACTAGCATAGATATCTCTCCATCACGGTGGCAAATAGAAAATAAAATAATGGCTAGCAAACTCACGTCAGCTAGCGTCAAAACTTGTGCAGAGCTCTCAAGTTAAACAATCTCTGCCAGCCATCTTTCTACAACAGAGACAGACAAAGTAATGGATAAATTATTTATGGCTGTTTACCGTTACCATGTACTTATCGTATCAGCTGTTTGCCCTTCTCTCAGAAATGTAAAAAAAAAAAGGAGGGGGGGGGGGGCGCGATGTTGTATTATTATCATAATAGTCCTGTCTTCTTCTTCTTCTCCTTCACTTCCTCTTTTACTGCTGTGGGTGTCGAGGGAGATAAAAGCTTCTGTTTCTAGCTCTTCTGGCTGCCTCGACCATAGGCACATCGTGCTGTTGTAGAGTTTCTCTGATGTTATCCTTTCATTTTGTTCTTGGTCTACCCCGTGCTCTGCGTCCTTCTTCTCTTTCCATGTATGCTTTGTATGGTATGGTGTCACAAGGCACTCTCTCTAAGTGGGCATACCATTTCACTTGCTGTCTTTGTATGTAATCCAGAATTGGTTCTGTGCCGACTTGTTCTCTTATGATCTCATTCCTGATCTTATCTCTTATGGTCACTCCTACAGCCCTTCTCAGACATCTCATTTCCGTGGTTACTAATTTTCTTTTATGGTTTGTTGTGAGTGACCATGTCTGGCACTGGTAGCACAGAGTTGGAATAAATATGCTTTGAATAAGATGTCTCTTTGTGCTGATTGGGATTGTCTTGTGCTGTAAGAGGGGGGCTAGCTGTCCCAGTACTTGGTTTGCTTTACTGCATCTAATGTTAATTTCTTTATCCAATTTCCCTTCTTCGGTAAATGTAGTTCCCAGATATTTAAACTCAGATGCCTGTTTAATGCCTTTGTATTCTATTGCCATGTTTAGATCTGTCTTCTTTTTTCCTATTGACATTACTTCTGTCTTTTCAGTGTTGATTCTCATATTATTTGTTTTACATTCTTCATTCATGGATGTTAGATGTTGTTGCAATTTCATGGCTGTGTCTGCTATCAAGGCCTGGTCATCTGCAAAGAGTAATTCGTGGATCTTACTAAGATCTTCCTTCATGGGCTTGGCATTCTTGCATATACTGTCGATGTAGGTGATAAACAGCAGTGGTGATAAGACACACCCCTGTCTTACTCCAGATGTCAATGTGAAAGGATGAGATGTTCCCTGTCCTGTCAGCTACCGAATATGCACAGGCCATCATGATACTTAGCGTCACACAGGCAAACAAACTAGAAACAAAGGACAAATACAATGTGTGTTATTCTTGAGGCACTGGGGACGCCTCCTGACAATCGATATAAGTTGAGTTGACTCAAGAATTGACCTCACAGCACTCGGGGCATTCCCATGCATGCTCCGTCCTCATAATCAGCAGCCAGCGCAGAGTTCCAATACTGATGGTACCGGTCACAATCTGGTTAAAAGTCCGTCTTGCCTTTCCTCTGAGTGTAGTGAGCCGGCCAGATACTCTTGTTACACCCAGGTGCCGCATTCTCTCCAGGACATAATAATCTTCTTTCTCTACTGATTTCGTTGCTTGTTCCCAAAGGGCCTTGACCACATCTGCCTTGTCATGCTTCAATTCACCACCCAGTGGTGTGGATCCAGTCAATCTGTCTGCCTGTTCATTACCCACCGCGCATACTTTCAGAGTCTGTTACAATTACATATGTATGCATCTTGTTCTCTAGTCACCGGAGAGCTGCAGTTATCGCCTCCACCTCCGTTCTCATGCTAGATGTTGTGGTGTCATATGCTAGGCTTCCCTGCACTAAAGATTTTCCATTGGCTTTCGCTACAAAGCCCCAGGCACTTCTCTTTCCTCTTAACACTGAACCATCGGTATAGATAATCAGATCACCTGGACGTGAATTGTCTTGAATCAACTGTTAGACTTCAACCTCCGTAGCACCTGCTGGCCACTCTCTGCAAACCTGGCCCAATGTTATCATAACCCTACACAGGTCAGACTTTCCAGCTGGTACTCTGACCCACTCCTTTCCTTGTCCAATGTTCTCCAGCATGCATACTTGTCTTATTATGTCTTCTGCTTGGGCCATCCACAATTTCTCCCTTTTCAGCCTTTGACCCTTGCCTATAGCCAAAGCTTCATACAGAGGGTGTTTCCTGTCTGCAGCCACACTGAGGTATGACTTAGCCCGCAGCACCTTTAGCCTATCTGCAATAGTCATCAATGCAAGGATGTATCGCATGCACACAATCGGGGTGTCTTTTATACAACCCAGGATTAGCCGCATGGCTTCATTCTGTGTGGGCTTCAGTTTCTCTAGCTGACTCTTTGAGACAGTGAGTAACCCCAATCCATATTCAATCTGTAATAGGCTGGAGAACGCCAAAGACTACTGTTCAGCAGCTTGACGATGTTTGGCCGATACCTTGATTTAGTCTGGTTTAAAAATGACCAAGAGGCCACAGGAACAGCTATTAGCTTTAGACGGTTACGCGAAGAAACATAGCCAGCCATCAGTTAATAGAAGACCTTGCTTAGCCTTTTAGAAGACTATTTGGCTCACAGACCGGCCCTGTAGAACATCGTCCTAGCTGTTGCGGCTTTGTACATTGGGCTAGCCAGCATAGGTACGGGCGACTGCAGGGAAGGCCGATTGTCAGGTTGATTTCGGTAGTATTTTTCCATAGTTACTGCCATCTTTGTTATAATTTCTTATTTGGGACTTATACGTTCCTTATCCAGTTTCCTTGGGACTAGTAATTCTTTGCTCATGTCAATGACAGTTATTTTTGGGTGAATGGAATGATGCTGCAAGTAACAAGTGATTTCGTGATGTCAGAGCTATTAGTTTTAGACGGTAACGTGAAGAATCATGGCCGGCCACCAGTTAATAAAAGACCTTGCTTAGCCTTTTAGCGGACTATTTGGCTTCCGGACCGGCCCTGCAGAACACGACCTAGCTGTTGCACATTGGGCTAGCCAGCAT